GGTCTGAAAAGGCCATCGCAGTGATTGCCTCCCTTCCGTCAGACATAATTCCCTGCTTCAGTCTCCTACATTCATAGTCAGACCATGGACTGGCCTTCATTAGTCAGATCACCAAAGCAGTCTCCGCCCTGGGCATCCAGTAGAATCTCCACACCCCATACCATCCTCAGTGCTCAGGCAAAGTAGAAAGAAATGATGGCCTTTTAAAAACACATCTCACCAAACTCAGCCTCCAACTTAAGAAAGACTAGATGGTTCTTCTACCCCTTGCTCTTCTCAGAATTCAGGCCACTCCTGGAGAACCCACAGGGTACAACCCCTTCCTGCTTGCCGCACCTTCCTGCTTGCGCCCAACCTTATTCCAGACGTCAGCCCTCTTGGTGACTACCTTCCAATGCTCCAGCAGGCCAGACGTGAATTCCCAGGCTTCTCTAACTTAACCTTCTCTTACCTACTCCAGATATTCAGCCATGTGAAGACACCCTAGTCGGACAGTCAGTTCTGAAAAAGAGCCTGGCCCCCCAGTCTCTACAACCTTGGTGGACAGGACCCTCTCTGGTTGTCTACAGCACCCTAACCGTTGTCCGCCTGCAAGACCCTCCCCAGTGGGTTCACCGCTCCAGGGTGAAACTGTGCCCATCAGACAGACAGCCTGACTCCTCCACCTCCTCTTGGCAGTTGCAAGTACTCTCTCCAGCCTCTTCCGAGGAAACTTAAATGCCCTGTTTTTGTTTACACTGCCGGTTTACACTTTTCCTTAAGGCAATTACTGCCGATACTTTGTGGTTTTATCCCCAGGCTGCCACCCTTGACTCTCTTTTAGAGTGGTCAGATGATCTTCAGTGGCAAGGAACTCTCCAGTTCTTCCACCCCGATTAAGTCCTCTTCTCTTCTTTTACACTCACTCTTAATATCGTTCCCGTTCTCCTGCTACCCTCTACCTCTCCCTGATTACCTCCAATATACCAGAAACCTAACCTACCCTCTCCTAGCCAACTCGAACCCTCACTTAGCCAGAGATTGCTGGCTAGGCAGTTCCCTCTCCTCATCCCACTACGCAGCCGTTCCTGCCCTACTGACCGACTGGACAAACTCTCCCGTTTCTTTACACCTGCAACCTGTACTTCCCCAAAGAACTACTCTAACTCCTAGACGGAATTGACAGAGACATCCCAGATATCTCAACAGGCTGCTGCTCTTCTATGCACCTACCTACCTAATCTTTCTCCCTACGTCAACTCAACACTCCCCGTTCTGGGACTGCTAACCACACAAACAACTATTCCTACTGCCGCTCTCTTATGCATTTCCGACAATCACCCACTGGAATCCCCCTAGGAAATCTCCCACCCTCTTTGTGTTCCTTTACACTTCACCTCAAGAGCCCTGCTACCTACATTATCCTAAAAATAGGAGCATATGAACTGCACATTACAGAAAAGCCCTCCCTTATTACTAGCAGCCTTAAAAACGTCAATAGCAGGTTTTGCCTAGGTAGGCCTTTACCCTCTCACTCCACCCTTGGCTCCTCAGACTCTCCTCCAGAACCCTCTTCCTGTCTGCTCATACCCAATCTTGTTAATGAACTCGCGTAGTTACTTACAGACAGCACATGCTTCCTCATACACCACGAGAACAAAAGCTCTCCCTCCACAGTTACCCTACCAAACCCCACTACAACCTTTAACAGCCACAGCCCTTGCTGGTTCCCTTGGCATTTGGGTCCAAAGCCCACCCTCGGAACACTTTCTCAGCTTTTTTTCCTCTGAGGTTCTTACATCTGCCTTCCTACCAACTGGACAGGCGCTTGTACCCTAGTTTTCCTTACTCCCAAAATTCACTTCACCAACGGAGACGAAAGCCTCCCTGTTCCCCTTGTGGTCCCGACATGACACAAGCGGGTCATTCCATCCATCTCCTTACTTGTAGGGTTAGGAATTACTGCTGCACTCGGCACAGGCATAGCACATCTACCACTGCAACTGCCACCTTTCGTAGCCTCTCTAATGATTCCCCTGCTAGCATTGCAGAATTAACTCCACCACTACCCCTTCCACAAGCTCAGGTAAATTCCCTGGCTGCAGCTGTCCTCCAAAACCGCAGAGGTCTTAATTTACTGACTGCTGGAAAAGGTCTTTGCCTATTCCTTAATGAAGAATGTTGTTTCTATGTAAACCAGTCCAGCCTCGTATAGGACGCCATCAATAAATTAAAAGAAAGAGCCCAAAAGCCCGCTAATCAGGCAAATTGTTATTGTGGATCTGGCTGGACCCTCTAACTGGAAGTCATGGCTTCTTCCAATCCTTAGTCCCATGATACTTATCTTTCTCCTTCTCTTATTTGGACGCTGTGTTTTCCGATTTATCTCTGAATTCCTACAAAACTGTATACAAGCGATAACCAATCAGTCAACATGACAACTGCTAACACCCCCACAATATCATCCTTTGCCCCCAGATCTCCCAGCAGTCTAAATTCTTTCCTATTTGTAGGTTTCCATACCACCCCAATCCTGCTTGAAGAAGGCCTAAGAAACATCGCCCCATCACCCCTCTGCGCCAGCCTTCCTAATATTCTACTGCCCTCCACTCTTCATTTCTTTTTCCTTTATATTATTAATATAAAAAGACAGGAAAGTAGGTATTTTAGACTGACTGCACCACAGTAACCTCTGTGACACTCCAGATGAGTTCCTGCAAACAGAAAGTCTGAAGTAACTGGAAAACCAGAAAAGGAGAAGAAATGACCAACCCCTGCAGTGCCTAAATAACTTTGAGACATTCTTCTGCTGTTCCTTATTCCCACCTCAATTGATAAGGCAACTGGACTTTGTAACCAACCCTGGTCAACCCTGGTTAACCATACCCTACAACCCCCTCCCAGCTTGCAAAAACTGCCATGAACTGTAACTTCTGTAACTTTCCACTACCGACCCTAAACCTATAAAACCAACTCCTATCCCACTGCCCTGCACTGACTTTCTTTTCGGACTCAGCCTGCCTGCAGCCATGCTGCTCACGCACAGTTTGTTTCGGGGTCTCCTCATTCAGAGCATGCATTTTACCAGGGTTCACAGCTGAATTCTAACAGAGGTACAAAGAGAAGCTGGTACCATTCCTTCTGAAACTATTCCAAACAATATAAAAAGAGGGAATCCTTCCTAACTCATTTTATAAGACCAACATCATCCCGATATCATAGCCTGGCAGAGACTCAACTGAAAAAGAAAATTTCAGGCCAATATCCATGATGAGTATTGATGCAAAAATCCTTAATAAAATACTGGCAAACCAAATCCAACAGCGCATCAAAAACCTTATCCATCATGATCAAGTCAGCTTCATCTCTGGGATGCAAGGCTGGTTCAACATACACAAATCTATAAACGTAATCCAACACATAAACGGAACCAAAGACAAAAACCACATGATTATCTCAATAGATGTAGAGATGGCCTTCGACAAAATTCAACAGCGCTTTATGCTAAAAACTCTCAATAAGCTAGGTATCAATGAATCATATCTCAAAATACTAAAAAGCTATCTATGACAAACCCACAGTCAATATCATACTGACTGGGCAAAAACTGGAAGCATTCTCTTTGAAAACTGGCACTAGACAAGGATGCCCTCTCTCATCACTCCTATTCAGCATTTGGAAGTTCTGACCAGGGCAATCAGGCAAGAAAAAGAAATAAAGCGTATTCAATTAGGAAAAGAGGAGGTCAAATTGTCTCTATTTGCAGATATCATGATTGTATATTTAGAAGATCCCATTGTCTCAGCCCAAAATCTCCTTAAGCTAACAAGCAACTTCAGCAAAGTCTCAGGATACAAAGTCAATGTGCAAAAATCACGAGCATTCCTATACACCAATAATAGACTTAAAGAGAGCCAAATCAAGAACGAACTGCCATTCACAATTGCTACAAAGAGAAAAAAATACCTAGGAATACAACTAACAAGGGATGTGAAGGACCTCTTTAAGGGGAACTACAAACCACTGCTCAAGGAAATGAGAGGACACAAACAGATGGAAAAACATTCCATGCTCATGGATAGGAAGAATCAATATCGTGAAAATGGTCATACTGCCCAAAGTAATTTATAGATCCAATGCTATCCCCATCAAGCTACCACTGACTTTCTCCACAGAATTGGAAAAAACCACCTTAAACATCATATGTAACCAAAAAAGAGCCTGCATAGCCAAGACAATCCAAAGCCAAAGAAACCAAACCAAATCTAAACAAAAAACAACAACAAAAAAACAAAGCTGGAGGCATCATGCTACCTGACTTCAAACTACACTACAAGGCTATAGTAATCAAAACAGCATTGTACTGGTACCAAAATAGAGATATAGACCAATGGAACAGAACAGAGACCTCAGAAATAACACCACACATCTACAGCCATCTTATCTTTGACAAACCTGACAAAAACAAGCAGTGGGGAAAGGGTTCCCTATTTAACAAATGGTGTTGGGAAAATTGGCTAGCCGTATGCAGAAAACTGAAACTGGATTCCTTTCCTACACCTTATACAAAAATTAACTCAAGATGGATTAACAATTTAAACATAAGACCTAACACCATAAAAAGCCTAGAAGAAAACCTAGGCAATACCATTCAGGACATAGGCATGGGCAAGGACTTCATGACTAAAACACCAAAAGCAATGGCAACAAAAACCAAAATAGACAAATGGGATCTAATGAAACTAAAGAGCTTCTGCACAGCAAAAGAAACTAGTATTAGAGTGAACCAGCAACCAACAGAATGGGAAAACATTTTTGCAATCTACCCATCAGACAAAGGGCTAATATCCAGAATCTAGGAAGAACTTAAATTTACCAAAAAAAACCCAAAAAACAACCCCATCAAAAAGTGGGTGAGGATATGAACAGACAATTCTTAAAAGAAGACATTTATGCAGCCAACAAACATGAAAAAAAAGCTCATCATCACTGGTCATTAGAGAAATGCAAATCAGACTCACATTGAGATACCACCTCATGCCAGATAGAATGGCGATCATTAAAAAATCAGGAGACAACAGATGCTGGTGAAGATGTTGAGAAATAGGAACAATTTTACACTGTTGGTGGGAGTGTAAATTAGTTCAACCATTGTGGAAGACAGTGTGGCGATTTCTCAAGGATCTAGAACCAAAAAATACCATGAGATCCAGCAATCCCATTACTGGGTATATACCCAAAGGATTATAAATCATTCTATTATAAAGACACATGCACATGTATGTTTATTATGGCATTGTTCACAATAGCAAAGACTTGGAACCAACCCAAATGCCCATCAATAATAGACTGGATAAAGAAAATGTGGTACATATACACCATGGAGTACTATGCAGCAATAAAAAAGGATGAGTTCATGTCCTTTGCAGGGACATGGATAAAGCTGGAGACCATCATTCTCAGCAAACTGACCCAAGAACAGAAAACCAAGCACCAATTGTTCTCACTCATAAGTGGGTGTTGAACCATGAGAACACATGGACACAGGGAGGGGAACAGCACACACAGAGGGGTATGGGGCTGGTGGGGGGGACAGCCGGGGATAGGGGGATGGGGAGGGATAGCGTTAGGAGAAATACCTAATGTAGATGGCAGGGTGATGGATGCAGCAAACCACCATGTCCCTATACCTATATAACAAACCTGCACATTCTGCACATATACCCCAGAACTTAAAGTATGATTTTAAAAAAATGATGGCTTTCAATAACTGATGTTTACAGAAGAAATATATGGTTTTGTTTTTTGTTTTTTTTTTGTTGTTGTTGTTGTTGTTTTTGTTTTTGTTTTTTTGAGATGGAGTTTCGTGCTTGTTACCCAGGCTGGAGTGCAATGGCACGATCTCGGCTCATGGCAACCTCCGCCTCCTGGGTTCAGGCAATTCTCCTGCCTCAGCCTCCTGAGTAGCTGGGATTACAGGCACGCGCCACCATGCCCAGCTAATTTTCTGTATATTTTTTAGTAGAGACGGGGTTTCACCATGTTGACCAGGATGGTCTCGATCTCTTGACCTTGTGATCCACCCACCTCAGCCTCCCAAAGTGCTGGGATTACAGGCTTGAGCCACTGCGCCCGGCCCAGAAGAAATATATGTATAGCAGAATATTGAAATGTTGACCACCACCTGCAGAAGTCTGGCCTGCAGACTCTGACTCAACAATGGATGAATGATTGTACTCTCATACCTAGTTCAATGATACAAGTGGGCTAGAGATGGCTGTTGGCTGCTTTCTGAGGGTGAAATGCAACCAACTGACCAAGACCTTTTGTCCATCCACATATTTATTCCACCAAAATTTTACAACAGAGGTTCTAAGTCAACACATTTGTGGATAATTAACATGGTTAAAAGAGTAGTTATATGAATGATAAAAAGCTTTACGTTCAGGGCCCAGAGTAAAGTCTATTATCAGGTAATTCTCCTCCCACTGAGGGACCATCCAGCACCAAGTTTACATGAGTAAACAGAGCAGAGACAAAGGGACATGGGGTAAACAGAAAGCCTTTGATCCTCTCTATCTCTTTCCTATGCTAATGTTAATGAGGCCGCTGCCTTCAGCATGCCTCAATAAGACCTTTCGGTCCTCCAAAAGGTTTGAGATTACAATCTGTAACTTTTCCTAATAGTTAATATCTTGCCAGCCACCCCAAGTGAATAACAACAGAATATAAAACTGAAAATAAGAATACTGTAATAGAAAGCCAAAGCTTTTTCAATTTATTAACAAAAGATAAACTGATCATCTCCAGTACTCACATTACTAAAGTCTCATACCTTTAACAATTCTGCAATCACCTTTTGGAAAAAAAATAAGCAGGACTAGAATTTAAATATTGATGTGGCATATGACTAAGTCCAGTGAATGCCTTGATAACCATGGCTGGGAATGCTTGTCACAGAAAGAGGGGCTTTGAAATTTTGACAGCAATTCAACCTTGAAATGTTGACAGAATTTTGACAAAAGAGGGGACAGAGGAGGAGAGAAAAGGTAGTTTGACCAAAGAAAACATGGAAAAGAACAAGATATATTCATAAGATGAAGGAGAAACTATTCTGTCTGAGAAAACCATTCATGTTGAGGGGCAATGTGAGGTTTGCTTTTACCTATGAAACTGAGGGTAATGGTAATTTAGAAAACAAGATTAAGCATTTCTTCCTTGAATTATTTTTCAAAGTATTCCTAATCAAGTTCTCCTAAAAGACTTTTGTTTTAAATTGTCTTTCATTCTATTTTGCATACCTTTTCTCTTACTAGAAAAGTAATAACATTTTTTTTTTTTTTTTTTGAGATGGAGTTTTGCTCTTGTTGCCCAGGTTGGAGTGCAACGGTACAATCTCGGCTCACTGCAACCTGTGCCTCCTGGGTTCGAGCGATTCTCCTGCCTCAGCCTCCCAAGTAGAGTACCTGGGATTGCAGGCATGCACTACCACACCCAGCTAATTTTGTATTTTTAGTAGAGATGAGGTTTCTCCAAGTTGGTGAGGCTGGTCTTGAACTCCTGAAGTACACACTTTCAAAATAAAACATTTATTGGCCTATTATATTATTTCTTCTGTGAATGTTTTTATGTCCTCTGTCTGCATTTCAACTGTGGTATATTTCCTCACCAGTTTATAATGGTGCTTTATAGATTAAGGTCACACTCTATTGTGCTCTGAAGGCATCCTATCATGCCCCCATCTCTCACCCCTCTTCAGCTCCTAAAACCTTTCCACTGGGCCCTCTCAATCCATGGTCTACGATCAAAATATTTTAAATCCAACTTCTCTTAACATCTCCTTCACCTTTTGCTCTGGCTGAATTTTAAATCCCTCCTCACAGCTTTTCCCATAGCTCCTTCTTCTCCCATGACTGGGCCTAGAGGTGGGATAGCTAAGTGTCTTCCTTGCAGCTTCCAGTTCTCCTTCCTACCTGAAACCTGGTGTTGACTCACGTCATTGGGTTTACTACCTCTCACTACCTCTCATCATTGCAGTCACCTACTACAACCCCTGCCACTCCCTTTCATTTTTCCACAATTTTAGATCCTGGCTTACTGTCACTCTCTCCAATATTCTTCCTATCTTAATTCTTGGTGATTTCAATATACATGAAATTATATCCTGATCACTCTGATCTTTTAACACCTCTCCTTTAATGATTTTTGTCCTCCACTCATTTATTCAACTCCATGCCCATGCTGTGGGTATTGTATTATTAATAAGTGCAAGCTGTGTCATCTCATTTTGGGTATCTCATTCTCTATCACTTCTTTCTAGCTTGCTCCTTCTAACACCCCAACAACAATCCTTCTGGGACTTTCAATCTATTGATCCATGTTTCACTTTTTTTCACTCAGCTTTTGATTTCCTGTCTTCCTTTCTCACGCAGCCTGAATTCCATTGTTCTATAAATACAATGTTCCCTTGAATACACCATCAGCTCTCTGGCCCCTCTCTCACTTCTCTGAACTTACTCCAGTTCTCTCGACCATTCCAACTCTTTTACATGGTCTCTCTCCCCTTAAACCTCTGACACTTCCTCCCACATCCTCACACTCAGCTGATGACTTCACTTTCTCCTTTATTATAAAATTTTATAATATTTTATTATAAAATTAAAAGAAATCAGAAGAGCATTTCTATAAATGCTCACCATCACACTGACTTGCTAGCATCTGTATCACAGCTTCTACATTCCTGTTATTAGAAACCATTTCTGTCCAATACAGTAGCCACTAACCACATATGGCTACTAAACACTTGTAATATAACTAGTGCAACTGAGGAAGGTAATTCTTTAATTAATTTGAAATTCAAAACCAAAGCACTGTAAAGATTAAACAACTTTGTTATTTTGGTAGAACTATATTTTCCATTTTAATGATGGGAAATTTAGCATCCAAACTGAGATTTGCTTACAAGTGTTTGAAAATCTAGTAAGAAAAAAATGAATGTAAATGTCGCATAAGTCACTATTATACCGATTCCATGTTAAAAACCACAGTATTTTGGATATACCTGGTTAAATATATTAAACTTTCATCTACTTTGTACTTTTTAAATGTGGCTACTAGAAAAATTTTAAATTACATATGTGGTTCATTTATATTTCTATGGACAACACTGCTACAGATGAACTGCCCGGGTTCCTCAGACCAAACTTTATGCACAAGACCCCACCGCCTTTTTAAAAAGTGTTTTTGTAAAAAACAAAAAAAGGGCCAGTCAAGTGAAGCAATGGGAGTGGAGAAGGAACAAATACACCTGTAACTAGGTGTGATCAATTAGTTGTAAAGACCACCAGCCTCAATTGCCTCTTGCCTACACAAAGGTACAGCTGTAGCAGTTCTTCCCTCTAATGCATCATCAGTTTTTAACTACAGGATCTTTCCCTTTAATGCAAACATGCTGTTTTTCCTGCCATGTTTTCCTGTTTAAAAGAAAACCCCCCTCTTCGTTAGTGACTTTTTTCTTTTTTGCTCCCCTTTACAGCAAAGCTCCGTTAAAGGCTTATCTATAATCCAATTTATTTCCTCCTATTCTTTTGAACGCTTTCGTCCTCATAACATCATCAAAACTGCTGTGATTAAGATCCCAACAACCTTAACACTGCTAAACCCTTCGGCCAATTCTGAACACTTTTTAACTGATTTATCAACTTTGAGCAGAGTTGCTCACTCCTTACTCTTTGAAATTCTGTCATTCTTGGTTTCCCCGCCATCCCACTCTCCTAGTTTTCCACCTCCCTGGCTGACAGCACCTTTCAGTCTCCTTTGCACGGTTATCTCTTAACGTTGTAAGTCTCTGAGGGCTCAGTCCTCGGACCTCGTCTCCTATCCATTCACTCCCTTATAAATTAGAGTCAATCTTGCATCTTTCAATGCCAGTCAGTTATGTGCTTACGAAAACCAAACTGACATCTGCAGCTCGAACCTCCCCGGAACCAAGCCCAAGCAGGGAAGAGGGCGGAGGGAGAACCCGTGGGACTGGTCTGCACTGAGCACTACAGGTGGCAGAGCCATGGGGGACCCGCAGGTTATGAGATTTAGGGGTGAAGGGTAGGGGTGTGGATGAAGTTGCGGGCCTGACCTGCTTGAACGTCCGCAGCACCGAGCCCAGTACAGAGGCCGCCATGTTGTCCGTTGCAAACTACAAAGCGCTGCAACTTTATTGACACAGCCGAATGACGCAAGACGCGAGGGGCGGGCCCTGGGCCGACGGAGCGGCGGATGGGAATGTGGCCTACAGGAAAGCGGGGTCAGTTTTGGGATCTGAGCGCTCGCGATATTTCACGGAACCCGGGCAAATGACAAATCTGCAGGCGACGCGTTGATACTGAAGGCGCAACCTGACACGCACGCTCCTTGCGTGTTGCAAGGACTTCCTTCCGTTTTACAAACCCTGTTAATCTACATATGTCTCTGCCCTCCTCTTTTCCTTCCGCCTTTACCTGCTAGTCTGTCGCCAGCAATGTCTCTTTCACTGCATGTTCTCGGTTCCGCTCAACATGCCCCTCCTATATGCTCCACTCGATTTAGGGCAGAAACCTAGGAATTACTGCTACCTCCTCCTCTGCCATCTCTCCTATAGATCCTGCAAATCTCTTTTCTCCACTATAATGGTGGTGTGATGATGATGGCAATGACAAAGATATTTCATATGTATGTCTGAGTTTATATATATATTATATCTGTATTGGGATTTTAGGTTAAAAGGACTTAAACGTTTTGTTTTTCCTTGGTAGGGGCATTGCCATTTAAAAACTGCTGTGTTCAGCTTATAGTATAGGAAATTAGCCTTCAGGTCTTTAGAGCCGCTGTCCTTCCTCTGGGATGAACCCTTGGAGGGGCAGTTTCCTTTGTGTGGATATAAGGCAAGTACCACGCACCTACGATTCTGATAGAAGAGTATGGAGGAGCATATATTAGCTTGGCAAGTAACGTATCTTAGGTGTGTTGGTGGATGAAGTGGAGCGATGCCCGTGTGCTACTTACATCTGCATTGTTAAACAGGAGCCTTCTGGGAGGGAGAGCTGAATGCGGACTCTTCTTTAGAGGTTCAAATGTATCGGACGATAGCTAATGGATGGGCAAGGTTTGACAGGCCAGCTGGCGGGTATAGAATCAGAAAACTAGACTGGCCTTAGGCAGGCATCTGTTCCTAACTCAAGCCTGTGTAATACCCTCTTGCCCTCCCCACAGCTCGGGTCATCTTCTGTAAGCAGGTCATGAAACAGGTGAGCTAGCTCTATGCACTCTGGCCTTTCTTCCTTTCTGGAAAACTAATTCTGAAAGCATGTTTTTTGTTGCTGTTGTAGATTATGATTTAATTCTACCTTATTGGTATGACTGGGAACAGGGGCAAGAATCCACCTCCACAATCCCAAAGGAAGAAGAGTCAGGAGAATTATATACATTTAGAGTGAGCACAAGACTTAGGCCAGATCTTCCTGGAAAGTGGTCAGAAAGACTTAGACTTAAGTCACGGGAGTTAGGCCAACCTGATTGTTTGCCCTTTGAAAGATAGCAAAATACTGGTGAATGAAGATGCAGCCCAGGATCCAGAGCTCTTCTGGGTGGTGGAGAGGTTCGTACCCTGGAAGCTGCTAGTGCAAGCCTACTGGCTTTTTACTGATTTTATGAAGGATATTAAAAAGGGCCGGGCCTGCTGGCTCACACCTGTAATTCCAGCACTTTAGGAGGCCAAGATGGATGGATCACTTGAGGTCAGAGTTCAAGACCAGGCCAACATGGTGAAAACCCATCTCTGATAAAAATACAAAAATTAGCTGCATGTGGTGGCAGGTGCCTGTAATCCCAGCTACCTGGGAGGCTGAGGCAGGAGAATCTCTTTAACCCAGGAGGTGGAGGTTGCAGTGAGCCGAGATTGCACCACTGCACTCCAGCCTTGACAACACAGCAAGACAAAAAAAAAAAAAGATGCTAAAAAGGATACAGATGAACAGTCAGTTGGAAGAGATGAATGGGACAAGGTACATGGGATGGAACTTGGAGCTACCATGTCCTTTCCTGGAGGGGCCACCCTCCAGGAACCTCCACATATTCAGCTATCTGGTAACTTTTGAAAGCATCTTTAAACAGCATCAGTAACTTTTTTCTAAAAATTGTGATATATATAGAACATAAATTTTACCATCTTCACCATTTTAAGTGTACGCTTCAGTGGCATTAAGTACATTCGCACTGCTGGGTGACCGCCGTCACTGCCCGTCTCCAGAACGTTGTGTCTTCAAGTAAAACACTGTACCATTAAACAAGTACCCATTCCCCCTTCCCTTCAGCTCCTGGCAACCACCATTCTACTTCTTGTCCCTATGAATTTGGCTACTTTAGGTCGCTCACATATATGGAATCATGCAGCATTTGTCCTTTTGTGACTGGCCTCTTTCACCTATAACATCTTCAGGTTTTACCCATGCTGTAGCATGTCTCAGCACTTCATTCCTTTTTATGGCTCAGTAATATTCCATTGTTTGGCTACACTACATTTTGTCTATTCATCTGTCATGAACACTTGCTTTGCTTACACCTTTTAGCTATTGTGAATAATGCTATGAACATGTGTGAACAAATATCTTATACAGCATTAGGATCTTGTTAGGCTGTTTCTCGATTTAAGAAGAGATTAAAGCACCTAATGGTGTGAGTGAGGCAGGAAACTCTGAGATACTGAGACAAGACTCCAGGGTCTTCTTTAATTAATTGTATTATTTTTTAAAAACGGCCTAAGATTTTCCCCCCAAAACCCCCAGTATGCACTCCCCACTTAGTGTGTGGGCCACTTGGCAGGGCCTAAAGAAGGCTTGGTTTACTTTGAATTCTCCCAAGAAGTCTCTAATTCTCTCTGGCCACTTGACAGAATGTGAGAAAGGCTGTTGTCCTTACTGTCCTGGAATTTTAGAATCAGGAGAACCATCATAATTCATTTAATTATTCAAAAAATATTTATTAAATGCCCATTACTTACCAGTGTGTAAATATGTGTCAGGGCAGAGACCAAAAAGAGAAAGAATCCCTGCCCTTCTGATGCTTGTAATTCACTGGGGATTATAGATTTAGACAGGAGTGGAGCTATCTACAAAGGATGGTTATATTACCTTTGCTTTTTCCTTATATTCTTTCCTTTGGAGGCTTAGAAGTACTTTCGAGTGGATAAAATAAAATTTAAGAGTTAAATATTTTGAAATGTGATTGTGAGAGATGGTTACAGTTGCTATATTGATTATTGACTTAATTAAATTATAAGAATGATTGTATAGATAATGAAATTGAAGCATAGAGAGGTTAGGTAACTTGCCAAGCCAGCTGAGCTAAGGACATTAAGGCAGCATTAGGAGAAGTTTGTTGTCTTCTGGAGAAGTGATGGCTCAGGATAAAGGCCTGACTGTTGTCACAGAATTCTTACTTATAAAATGTATCAATTGATTAAGGTATAGTGTTCATGCCATTTTAATCAATACTTCAATATATATAATAATGCTACATATTATATGTAATATATATTTATTATGAGCATATTAACATATATTTATTAATACATAAGATGCACTGTAATATAAATATTACATTTTAATATTTAATATATATTAAATATATGATGTATAATCTATTAATATATAGTATACATAAATATATTTTGTATAATCTATTATATATAGTATATATTTATATATTTTATATTCATAAATATGTATTAACGATATATCCTTATCTATTTAAATTTATGTATATTTTATATAAATATATATATTAATATATAGTATTGACTCAATTATGCCACTTTAATGAATCTATTCCAAAGAAATACTGAAATATATATACTAAATACATATCTATTTTAACCTATAATATATACTAATATATTTTTAAAATGTATATTTATATTAAATATTTACATATATTTATTAAATATTTATATATATTTAATAAATATATATAAGGATGATTGGATAGAAGAGAGGTGGAAAACTCCCTCATAGAACACCATGAATTTTATTTTATATTTTGAGACAGAGCCCGGCTGGCTCTATCACCCAGGCTGGGTTAGTTGCTGGATCACAGCTCACTGCAGCCTCAACCTCCCCGGGACAGGCAATCCTCCCATCTCAGCTTCTGGAGTAGATTCGACTACAGGCTGGCTAATTTTTTGTATTTTTTGTAGAGATGGGGTCTCATCTTGCCATATTGCTCAGGCTGGTCTTAAACTCCTTGAGCTCAAGAGATCCTCCTGCCTCAGCCTCCCAAAGTGCTGGGATTACAGGTGTGAGCCACCACAACCTATGAAATTTTTGAAAACAAAAAAGTGCTGAATAGTCTTACCCTACTGGATGTTAATGTATCATATGTTACAGAGCCATAGTGATTGAGCTCATGTGGTACTGGTGCCAAAATCAACAGACAGGTAAGTGAAATAGAATAGATAGGCAGACAGAAACTCCAGTACAATTAGAATTTGATTTGTATTAAAGGAAGCATAAAACTTGTTGAACAAGTGGTACTAGAACAACTGGGCAAAGATTTGGGAAAACTTTTAAAATTATAATCTTCATCTCTTATCACATATCAAAATAAATTTTGGATAAAGAGTTAAATACTAACAAAGGCTTTAAAAACAGAAGAAAATAAAAATGAACAATATTTTTAATTTTTATTGTTTTATTTTATTTCTTGAGATGGGGTTTCACTCTGTCACCCATGCTGGAGTGCAGTGGTGTGATCTTGGCTCACCACAGCCTCTGCCTCCTGGGCTCCAGGTGATTCCTCTACCTCAGCCTCCTAAGTAGCTGGGACTACAAGGGTATGCTACTATACCTGGGTAATTTTTGTATTTTTTATAGAGATGGGGTTTCACCATGTTGCCCAGGCTGGTCTTGAACTCCTGAACTCAAACATTTTGCTTGCCTTGGCGTCCCAAAGTGCTGGAATTATAGATGTGAGTCACCATGCCTAGCTGAATATAGTTTTACACTTTTAAATCTTAGTAGGCAATTTTCGGACTGTCTAATAACATTAGAAGTGTTCGACCTTACTAGTTTCTAATAAAATGGAAATTAAAATAATGAAATCTATTTAAGCTAGCAAATTAGCAAAAGTTAAACAAAATCAGCATTGTCAGAGGTGCGAGGAAATAGGTAATTTCATAGTCAAGTGATAAGCATATAAATTGGCATAACTTGTCTGCAAAGCAATTTGGCAAGTCTTTTCAAAGTTTGTAACTATTGACCAGTTATGCCACTTTGAGGAATCTAGTCCAAGGAAATACTGAGAAACTCTAAAATTTATATAAAAGGACATTTATCATTGGCTTATTTACAACTAAAAAAAAAAAATAACTTAAAAGTCAACAGTAAAGGGAGAGTTAAATGAATTAAGAAATCAAGTTATGGGCCGGGCGCGGTGGCTCAAGCCTGTAATCCCAGCACTTTGGGAGGCCGAGGTGGGTGGATCACGAGGGCAAGAGATCGAGACCATCCTGGTCAACATGGTGAAACCCCATCTCTACTAAAAATACAAAAAATTAGCTGGGCATAGTGGTGCGTGCCTGTAATTCCAGCTACTCAGGAGGATGAGGCAGGAGAATTGCCTGAACCCAGGAGGCGGAGGTTGCGGTGAGCCAAGATCGTGCCATTGCACTCCAGCCTGGGTAACAATAGAGAAACTCCGTCTCAAAAAAAAAAAAAGAAAAGAAAAGAAAAAAAAAAAGAAATCAAGTTATAAGCCTAAATTTTAAAATCCGATAGGTTTCTAATTTTAAAATATATATATTTACAGTTAAAGGTGTAGGTATAGATTAGATAGATGATAGATAGATAAAAAAAAAAAAAGAACAGAAGGCAATACCCTCAAATATTAAGAGTAGAGATGAATCAGATTACTGGTTGTTCTTACAGTCTTTAAAATTTTCCAGTCTCTCTATAATTTATATTATTAGATTCACAGGTGTGTTGAAGTTGACTTAAAAATATTAACCTTTTTTTATATTTATATTATTTTGCCCAAAATATTTGAAAAATCTTTTTTTTTTTTAATGTAGGAAGGGGTCATTCCTGATCCCCATCAGTATCCTCTGCTTATCCTTGGGAACAGGCACAGGCCGAACCCAGACCAAAGCAGCAAGAAATGATGAATTCAGGGATGCTTGCTTTGTTCATATTTAGTACCAAGTCATTCACTCTTCCCTTTGTCTTCATTTTTCTGGCTTCTGTGTATGGCGTCAAATAAGCTGTGCTTTTGGTGTCTAATCTATACCGAATACAGGAATGATCATTTCCTTAACTTCTTTGTTTTCTGAGAGGACTAATTAATTATTCCTTTTCATTATTTTATAACTGGTAGGTTACAGAACTAACTTGACTGCAGCCTCCAGTGTTACACAGAATATTTCTTGGCATGTGCTTGTTTCGAGTGGGTCCAGGCTCAGTCACCGGCATCCTTGGGCCTGGACACTGCCCCAGTGCACTCACCTGGCGCTTCATCACAGACCTTCCACGTGAGAGCTGGATATGGAGCAAAAGAACCAGACTTCTTGAGCTATGAGAGGGAATTACAAAGAGGGAGAAAGTGAGAATAAAGGAAAGAACCTGTGGAAGGAGAGCAAAGGCACAGGGACACGTGACACACACATACATACACACACACACACACACACACCCCTCAACTCTGGCTCTGAAATGGTTTGATGGATAGTGGGTGAAACCTTTGTTCTCATTGTGCATCTGCCTTTATTAAAGGTCATCAGCTGAATAGCAATCCTATTGGTTTACCAGTTAGGCCTTAGAGTGTGGATGGCCTTAGCACTTCTGGAAGCAGCCATGGGTCCCATGCGTGTGAGCCTCCCGTGGAGTTATGTGCTATGTACCATGCTGAACACAAGATGGCAGGATTACCACATCTGCGCTCTAACACCCAGCCTTCCTCGGTTCCCACACACAGGGCCTGATGCAAACTGGACACACACACACACACAGACACACACACAGACACACACACACACACACACAGAGCTGTCCTCCAAATAAAATGACACTTGGCCTGTCATCAGGTGGGACCTGTGTTTGAGACAAAGTTTGCCTCCTTCATGGGAGTCAAAGGCAGGGCAGGCTATGATTTTGAGGGCCCATTGCAAAAGGAAAATGTAGGGCCTGTTCAAAAAGCAGGACTAAAAAGTGCTGTTAAAGATAGTAAAATATGAAGCGTTTTCCTTTCTATCCTGGACTCTTGACTTGTTATGGAATTTTTTAATTTGCTTTTTTTTTTTAAAGATGGAGTCTCGCTCTGCTGATCAGGCAGGAATGCAGTGGTGCAGTCTCAGCTCACTTCAACCTCCACCTTTTGGGTTCAAGTGATTCTCCTGCCTTAGCCTCCAAAGTAGCTGGGATTACGGGCATCTGGCTAGTTTTTGTATTATTAGTAGAGATGAGGTTTCACCGTGTTGGTCAGGCTGGTCTCAAACTCCTGACCTTGTGATCCGCCCGCCTTGGCCTCCCAAAGTGTTGTGACTACAGGCATGAGCCACTGGGCCTTGCCTTTATTTGCTATGAATGTTCTAAATAAAGAAAAATGAAATCATTAAATGTACTTTTAAATCATTAGCATCAATTTTACCACTCACTGTCATATTGGGGAATTATAATTCACACTGCAAATGTAAGACCATTTAACTCAGGCAGAATCAGTGACATTAGACAATTTTTATTTTGTAGCTTGTATTTGCTTATATGTTTTGTTCTTACCGTGAAAATATTGCATAACACTAACTCAGTTGCTTTTATTTCACGTTTTGATCCATGCACATTCTACTAGCACTTTCTACCTGTGCTTATTCATGAGTACGAGAGGACTGAAAGGGAAACTATTGTCCCCTTAGAATGTCAATGCCTTCATGTGTTGGAAGCAAGTTCCAGTGGCCTCTTGGTGCTGCCAGTGCCCCATGTGACCCGTTCATAGACACAGTACTCTTACCGTGGACTAATTTTGAGTCCCATTAATCTCCCATACATCATGCAGCCACCAGATTTCTCTGTGGATGGGGCATCACAGAAAGGGAGCAGCAAGGAATGATGGGCACACATGTCCCCTCGGCTCATGCAGGTGTTCCATTGACCCATTGGACCTCACAAGATACAAATTTAAAAATATAATGATTCAGAATTTCTTTTTTAAATTAAAAAAAATTTTTTTGAGATGGACTTTCCCTCTGTCACCCAGGCTGGAGTGCAATGGCATGATCTTGGCTCACTGCAAACTCCTCCTCCCAGGTTCAGGTGATTCTCCTGCCTCAGCCTCCCAAGTAGCTGGGATTACAGGCACCCACCACCATGCCTGGCTAATTTTTGTATTTTTAGTAGAGATGGAGTTTTACCATGTTGGTCAGGCTGGTCTCAAACTCCTGACCTCGTGATCTGCCCACCTTGGCATCCCAAAGTGCTGGGATTACAGGTGTGAGTCACCATGCCTGGCCAATGATTCAGAATTTCAAGATAGTGACAGTAAAATATTAAACCAAGCACAGGGCTCTCCTGAGGGCATGGGGACACATGTACAGATACACACAAACACACACACAAGAACAGCAGGGGCTATGTGATGCATGAGTCACATGCTGCAAAGGCAGCCCAGGTCACAGGCTCTCATGATCTAGCCACTTGCATTTTCCCAGTCCAGATTTGTATCTCTAATAAGTGTTTTTATCCAGGGGCCAGAGCACCTTCAACTCTATGTAGCAATCTGAGCTAGTGCGCATCCGTTCCTTCAGCAAACATTTATTGAGCATTCCTGTTATATACCAGATACTGTTCTAGGAGCTGGGGAAGCAGCAGGGTACCTAGTCCCTGCCCTCATGGAGCTTACACTCTAGTGGAGGAAGGGGAAGAACCATTTGCAAATAAATAAATATGTGTCAAATGGAGACATGAAGAGAAAAGCAGAGTAAAAAGAGCATAATGGTCGGAAGTACTGTCACCTAATGTGGTCAGAGAAGGGCTCTCTGATGAGCTGGCATTTCAACAGAGACCCCAAGAGCTAGGAGGCTCTGGGGGAGGATGTCCAGGCAAAAGGAATGGCAGCTGTGATTGGGGTGTGCACATGGTATGTCTGAGGGGGAACATGGAGGCAGCAGCTGGAGCCAAATGAGTGAGAGGGAGAAGGAAGGTGAGGTCAGGACAGTGGGAGCGCAGGGGGAGCCCATGTAAGGCCTTGCATTCCCACATAAACCTCAGTAAAACCTCCCTCCTCCAGACTGCCTCCTCTGTTCTAAAGGCCTTATGTCTTGATAAATGGCCTCACCGGGAATGGAAGTTACCTTTAGCTCCTTTTCTCTCATGCTGTCCTAGACCCCACTGCACACAGTTTAGCCTGACGTCTTGCTCCAGCCACTGCTTGGCTGACCACTTCCAAGCAGGCTGCTACCAGCTTCGTTTAGCTGCAGTGACATGCACCTTAGGTTTACATCAGGGGCCTCTCATGTCTTGCCTTGGGGCTTCTCTGGTGTTGGTGTGGACACCTGAGGAGCCAGGAGCCTGCTCAGCTCTCATGCATGCACAGCTTCAAGTGCAGGGGGAGTGACGCTGGTGGGGGCACCCTGAACCAATGGAGATGGAAGCGCAGGATAACACATTTCATAAGGCTCCTCGGAAGGTCTTAGCAAGACATCAAGCTCCAGCCACCTGCAGCAGTGGCTCATTTAGTAGTCATTTAGTGGCATCCTCGTTTCTCTTTTTCATTCATTCTTGTTCCACTGCCCTGCTCCCTCACTCTTGCTACCAAATAAACAACTTGCACACATACCTCTGTCCTGGATTCTTCTTTTGTGGGTGGCGGGAAGAATTCAGGTTCAGATAAAAAATAGCCCTTCCTTGCTGGGTGCAGTGGCTCACACCTGTAATCCCAGCACTTTGGGAGGCCAAGGCAGGTGAATCACCTGAAGTCAGGAGTTCGAGACCAGCTGCCAACATGGTGAAACCCGTCTCTACTAAAAATACAAAGATTAGCCGGGCATGGTGCCGGGTGCCTGCAGTCCCAGCTACTCAGGAGGCTGAGGCAGGAGAATCACTTGAACCCGGGAGGTGGAGGTTGCAGTGAGCCGAGATTATGCCACTGCACTCCAGCCTGGGTAACAGAGCGAGACTCCATCTCAAAACAAAACAAAACAAAACAAAAACCCTTCCCACAGATCATCCAAATCTACTTCAAACTGTTTCTCTAATTTTTCCCATTCCTGCTTCTACTCCCCTAGTTCAGACCCTGTTCATCACTTGTCTGTACTAGGACCAACTGGATTCCTACCTGCTCTTTTGGCCTTTTTTCTTTTTAAACTTAACCCATCATCTCTCCCACAGAAGCATGCCTCCTTTTCTGCTGCCACAGTGAAGTTTCTAAGACGATACGACTACTCATCTCTGGTGGCTCCTTACCACCTACAAAATGAAGTTTAAACCCTTGACATGATGTTAGGATCGTGGTCGATGCCTGCAGCACCGTGATTTTCAGTCTCTCCCCATAAACACCTCTGGCCACCTTGGATTGTTCATCTGTTGTTTCCCCTTCGGTGGTTCTTCCTCTCGAAGCCTTGCTTTCTGCCAACCTTTCCATTCAGTTTCCTTTAGTTCATCAAATGCTTAACTGAACACAGGCATGTACTGGGTCCTGTCACCCAAGGAGGTGAGGAGCAGGTGACAAGATAGGGGGAGGTAGTGTTGCAGAATATGTCGTGCGTCAACACAGTCCCATGTAAACGTTGTGGTTAGCTTGCCCCAGTTTAGGGAACTTTTTCATCAGGCTGGAATCACTGCTGGGGTTTGGGTAAGGAGAAAGGAAATTTTTCTTTTGTAGAACTTGAGATCATATGGAAAAATAAGGCTCGGGGTAAGGGGATAAATTTACAGAAAGTCATCTTTACATTAATCATCAAAGCTGATGTCTAAATAAAGACTGCGATTGACATTTTGCACATTTTTAAATTAGTAGTAGTGGATACAGCACTCAATTTTCACTTACCATTCCTACTTCAAAAAAAGAAGTGTTGAATTTTCTTCCCAGCAGTTTCAAGGAGATGCTTGCTTATTTGTTTTGATTTGTTGCAGATGATATGCATGCAGAGAGGTTTTCCTTTTCTGAGTGTCATTTTCCATCCACATATTCCATGTCTTCTTGGCTCGCAGACTTAAGATGGTTGATTTTCCACCCCTCTAGTTCTGCCTGCCGGGTCACTGGCTATAGTGTGCAGGTTGGCATCATAGGACTGTGCCTGGCCAAGGGAGTGCGTAGGTCTGACTCTCGGCTCATGAGTTTTGCCAGGTTGGGCTCCCGGGCTCATGGCTGCATTACATTTTTATTATTCTGCCATGATTCAGAGATGTTAAATAAGTTGATGCTTGAGATAGAAAGGTTTAGGATAATCTTATTTAACCAATGAGGCCCAGCTCAGTGGGTAATTTGCAGCCCTTCTGCCCGGCTCCCAGGGTTTATCGCCTCAGGCATGGCCTGGCATCTGTGTGCAGAAACACGCCTGTCATCTCCTCTTTCCCATCTTAGCAACCTCCCTCCTCTCAGGCCAGTTCCCAGTGCTAAGGACCTGGTTACCCTTCCTCCTTGTGTTTCCTACAGCTATAATAACAAACT